TTTTCAGATTCATGCCAGGCAGTCAAGAAAATCATGTCTCAGGGAGCTGTAAGGAAAGGAGACCAACTTATGAACCATTGGATTGTAAAATGTTTGAAAAACAAAGGCTAAAGACAAACCTTTCCACAGGATTCCTATTAAAAGATGAATTTTGAAGGGTGAATAATTTCAGGGTGCAGCTGAAGGATCCACCTCCAGATCCTCTATGGCAGTGTTGCAGTCTCAACTGAAATATTCTCTTCTACTCTAAATGGTAACTTGGGTCTCCAGCAGGTTCTAATTCTCATTCTACCTGCCTTAAAGAAATAAATTTGTAAATATGAATTGCTCTCAGTGTGGACTCTCAGTTGTTGTGTTCATACTTTTTGTTTATTAACACAAACGCTCATTGACTTTGCTTAAATGTAAATTTTATCAAATTTCTTGTTAATAGTAACAAGAACTTCATTAAAATTTACATTTAGTCTCACCATGACAATGTGAGTTGAACTTTTCCATCCTGTCTGGTTGGGAGAGTTGTGCTGCTCTGTGGAAGAGGATTTCTTCATCTGTGCTGCAAATGGATTTGAAGTTCCTGCCTTAACAAAACTTATGTGAAGCAGAATAAGGAGCCTCCTGCAAAATTGACTCTCTGCTTTTTAATTCCTTTGGAGCCTCTACATATGCCAGACTTTGTTTATTTTTATTTTTGTTGTATATTTTTATTGTATATTGTTACTGTTGGCAGCATTTATAAATTTTACGGTGGATGTAAGGTTTCTTATGCTTGTTTAATTAAATAGCATAAAACTTACATTTTTGTTCACCTGAAAGAAGATAACACTCAAAACTGAGTATTTGGTGCATTGTTAATTGAAACAAGTAAATTTTTTTGGATTGTTCTGTTTTGTTTAAAGCATATATTCTTTCTTACTGAAGTATTTCAGTATCATTTCCAGTCCACAGCAGAAGGCTGCTAACTGATCCCCTTAGAGATGCAAATAATTCTATGGGATTAAACTAGATACTGCTTTTTAATCCCCTTGTTTTATTAGGAACAGATGGACTTTACTTCTTCAGATCATCATCCAAACAAAAAAAGAAAGGTAGCAAATCAGACAGTGCTGCTTTACTGACTGTGCTGTTGGGGTGTGCATGTGTGTGTGCTGTGCTTACAAAAAAAAATCCACGGAAAAAAGAATTTCGGTGACATGCTGCAAAAGCAGAAATAGTAGATCCAAATGGAATAATCAAGGTTGAGCCTCTACCCTGAGAATTTCACAATAATGCATCGTGCAAGTAAAATATCTATTTTTGAAATATTCACACAGCTGGCTAAAAATGCAGGTGATTTGTGGTGTTGCTGAATTTGTGTGTTTGCTCTGCACCCTTTACCTGCTGCAGCAAAGTGAGCAGCTGCTGGGCAGGGCTGGGATGGCTCTGCTGCCTGAGTGACATTTGTCACCCCTGGGAGAGGGGCTTCAGGCCAGTGCTGCATTCAGAAACTTGGTTTTTGTGAAAATCCCCGAGAAGGGGAGGGATAATGAATGGTGTGTTTATAAAATGTGACAAATTCTTCCACAAGTGACATCTGGAAATGAGGGCACTGCTGTCTCTGCAGCTGGAATTGCTGTGTGAAGGAACTCTGGTCACAGGAGAGACCTTTGTGGGGAGGCTTTTAGGGACTCCTCACTGCATGTCACAGATCATATGTTTCATAGTATTTAGAATTTTTTTTTTTTTTTAATTTTGCAAAAAGTAACTTAACCTTCCTGTCAACAAAATCACTTTTATTTTACTTCCAACTACTCCAAGTGTGATGAAATCGATGTATTTAGTATGTACACTTTGTATTTTCATAATACGAAAAAAAAAAATAAAAAATCAAACCATCTATTTTACTTGAGGATCAGAAAGCAAGATTTTTAATGAACTATAGAAAAAAATTACATGCTTCCAGAGTTTCCTTAGCCATGTCACCTACTGACTTTTCCACAACAAAGCTCCTGGTGTTCCAGATCAGGTGCTTAAGTGGTTGTAGTGAAAAATCCCCCAAACTTCCAAGTGTTGCATTCAATTTTTTCCCACTAGAGTTGAAAAGTGTTCTTCAGTGTTCATCTAAATTCACATTTTGTGGTGTGGGTGTGTGTTGTGTCTTCATGTTGCTTTTCCCCTTCCTTCCTCTCCTGGTTTAATCTGTTGTGCAGAGTAAAAAGCACATCATGTTTCTGGTTTTGCAGCATTGTGTTTTGTTAGCTGAAAAATATTCCAATTTAGAGATACTTTGGTGTGTGTATGTATTCTTCCATGCCTATTTCTACATTAGCAATCCAGTGAATTGAATACTTTATGAAGAAATAAAGGATGAGTCAGTCTTTTTTTTCCTTTGTGCCTTTGTTGTCATGCAGATTTAACATGAGAATTATTTGTATATATCAGAAAATACTTCTGCTTTCAAGGATGCTCATACAGATACAGTGAGCCCAGGGCTAGATTTTAATAATGAGGTTTCCCAAGGCAGTGTTTGCAGTCAGAACTCTGCTCCCCTCTGGTGTCCTGACCCACTGGATGAGAAAAGTGGCTTTTGTGGGCACCCACCAGCTCTCTGCTGACGTAAAAAGGGTCCTTGTGCTGGGACCATGTGGGGGTGGAGGTATTTTCTGCTGAAATACAGAAATTAACCACAGCTTATCTCCTCTTCTCATGTATACAGCTTGTCCCAAGTGTGTCTGAGAAACAGGCAAGACACCAGGATAAGGCATTGAATGAAGAATAATTAATAATAATAATAATAATAATAATAATTCTTTGTTTTCCTCCCATCTCCAGAACAAAGGAAGAATTATGCACGAGACAGTGTCAGCAGCATATCTGAAACGTCACAGTACCATGTGGAGGTGAGATGAGAGTGATGCACCAATTACAGCTCTCAACTACATGTGGTTATTTTTGCCTGCATGGTTTTTTTTTGGGGGGTGGAATATATAAGCTTGAAGGCACAGGCATCTTCCAAAATATCCTCCCAGCCTGGGGTCACTTCAGAACAGATTACACTGAAATGTCTCAGATTCCATAGCTGAAATCTCGCTGTAGAAGGATGGAAGCAAAGTTGTGTAGCTTGGCAAAGAGTCAGGACTTCTCAACAGGGGATGGATTCAACATCTTGTGCTGCCCTGTCTCTGAGCCTGGCTCCTTGCAAAGAGCTGAACGATGCTGTGCTGCTGGCAAGGCACGCTGATATTTAAAACTAATACCCTGATCAGATCTAATCAGCATTATTAGAATATTCATCGAGCTCTGAGCATTAACCCCTCAAAGCCCCAGTGAGTGGAATAGGTGGTGGTTAAATACATTCTGCCTGCACTGACTTTTCCCCAGTGTGAAGAGCAAAGTGTGTGACTTGCTGTCTTAAGCTGCTTTTCAGGATTACTGCATGCTGCTGTCATATTTTAAATATTCAGCAGGGTAAGCCTGAGTGCCTCTGTGTAGCCCTTCTGAGTGCAGTGCCTCCTCTTGTAGCCTTACCTGGGCTCAAACCTTCTCCTGGTGCCATCAGACCACTGTCATGGCTTAAGCCAAGTCTTACAAACACCACAGCTCCTTTTCCTGGGTTTTAAATCCCGTGTGAATTGTGAGATCATATACAGAAGACTCCCAATTTCAAGTGTTTCAGTCCTATGATCAGCTTGCAAATGAATACATGTGTTGGTTCTAATTGCCTGTCTATTTTTGTGTGGTTTCTTCATAACAGTTTTGGTGCTGTACTGGCATAACAATTAGTACTTGCATTTGGAATCTAAGCATTCCTGGGTAAGCAGCCAGTACAGAATTTGTTTCACTTTACTTCTTTTAAATACTTTGATTATCTGCAGCTTACACCTACTTCTCTGTAATTACCATATGCTGTTATCCTGTAACAGAAGAAAGCACAGTTAATTTTTTTTAATTATTTTTATTTTTTTAAAGTTATTTAGAAGACAGATGTGCAGGTATACATTAAATGTGGTTCAGCTTGAATGAGTGTCACCAGATCTTTATGCCTGAACGAAATGAAATCATTTTGTGGTTTTTCTTGCACAGTTGGCATGCTGAAGGAGAAATTGCCACACACATAATGACAGGGAAGCTTCTGAGGTGATATTTGTGAGGTACTATTGAGTTTCCAGGCTAATTGATTGAATCTGGAGAATATTCCAAGCTGATGGTGAGCAAGAGTAGTTACTATTTTCTACTGTGCTGCACATAAAAGGGACCAGCCCATCCATAAGGTATCCCAGTGAGATGCAAGCCCATCCTGGTTGCCACCAGCAGGCTACTGGCAGCTCTGGAAGAGATGAGGACACCCCAGGTCAGGGTGGTGCTGGAGCTGTGTTGGCAGGGAGCTTCTGGAAAGCTTCTGCTGGCACCTCCTGAATTCAGCTTGCCAAGACAGAGACAGGTTTTCACTCCCTGAGAAAGCTAATTAAAACTCGTGGTTTAATTCTAGCTTTGATACCTGGAGGATGTCAGAATGTGCCTTCAAGTCTAACTGCTTACAGCAGTGAGGAAATGACAGTGGGTGTCAAAAAGGAAAATAAGTTGACTTAAAGTGACATTGTGGACTAAACAGATTTCTTCATGTCTTAGAGGTGGGCTCTGTCATATCCAAAGGCACTTTTACTCATGAATTATTTGCATTGCTACTTCCTGACAATTTAAACACTGACACTCCTGAACAATAAGGAAAATTGCAATCAGAATTTCTTTTAATTGTGCATCTCACCCAGCACTTGACCACCTTTGTTCTGGACCGAAAAGAGGCAATGATTACAGTGGATGATGGGATAAGGAAGCTGAAATTGTTGGATGCCAAAGGCAAAGTGTGGACTCAAGACATGATTCTTCAAGTGGATGACAAAGCTGTCAGTTTGGTGGACTTGGAATCAAAGGTAAGGGCTGTGAGTGACAGGCTCATTTTCAGAGAGAGAGAAAAAGGGAGAGAGCAGGAAAATGATGTATGTGAGATTGAAGATTTTAATTAGCTTATTATCACTTTCCCTTTTTAGCTCATGCCGTTTTTCTGAGATCAGGACATTGTATAGTAAGGTGGTATTTTGTGTTTTCTTCTTTTTTTTTTTTCCTTCGTCTGACAGAATGAACTGGAGAATTTTCCTTTAAGCACAATTCAGCATTGCCAAGCTGTGATGAATGCATGCAACTACAATTCAATTCTTGCATTAATATGTAAAGAACCAACCCAAAACAAGCCTGATTTGCATCTTTTCCAGTGTGATGAAATTAAGGTAAGATAATAATGAAGATCTGCTATGACTTATTTGAATAGGGGAGATGGAATGAATTGACCAGTCCAGTGGATAAAGAGAAATGAGCTGATTCATAGAAAATAATGCTGTATTTTTATTCTTATAAATATGCTATAAATTTAATGCACTTATGATATCAGCACTACTTATAATATGTTAGTAAATGCAGTGTAGTATGGATTGCAAAGGAGTAATCTAATATTTAAACTGAATCTTTAATTCATGCTCAAATATGTCCTTATTGTAAATATTGATATTTGGACTCTATAGCTGCTAATTTAGGTCTGCAAATATATAAAGCTCTGGAAAATGTCTATGGTTTGCCTTCACACTTCCAAAAAACTGGTGCAAAATAATTGAGTTAAGTCAAATTTATTTTATAATCTGCAAAGAGCTTATCAGAGCCCTGAATCTTACCTACTTTTTCTGCTCATTTTTCACTGAACAATTAAATATTCTCTACATTCTCACCTCTCTGCATCTCTGCTCTGCTGGAGAGATCTTGAAAGGGAAAATATTCCTTGCAGGAGGGGCAAAACAAGGAAAGAGATTGCTTGTCTCTGATGAAAATATTACCTTCCAAGTGTAATTCTTTTAATGTATTCTGCAGTACTTCTTCATTTCTTAGGCTATAAATTTTAATTGTGAGTTATTCTCTGTAATTCCAGTTGATAATTTCATGGGGATTTCTTAATTCCTTTGTAGAAGTTTGTATTATTGTCTTGAAACAACAGACTGTTAATCACACTGTGCAACAGTTTTGGGATTAGCATGGTGAGAGTGGTGTGAGGATGATTAATTATGGTGTGATTGTGTGATTTCAAGCGGGTATTGTGTTAAATATTGCAGGGATCTCTTTTGAGATGTGTTTGGACCCAGCCTCTCAATGTGTAGAGTTGCATTTTTGAAGTTGTTCCTCTGTGAACATATAAAAAATATAAAGTACATATGCATGACTTGGAGGTCCAGTATCTCCCTTTGTTCTCAAGTATTGTTTGATTCTTTGGCCATATCCTGGGTTTTTTTTCTTACCCATGAAACTTTTCTGGTTTTGAAAGTTTAGGTCTTTCTCTGTAGGCTTTTCCCTGCTTTTGTTCAAAGTGACAAGCAACTCCAGGAGCCTCTGCAACAAAAAAATAGTTAAAATCAATACTATTTGGGGCATTCTATCATTTTATAAACATGAAAAAAATTAAATAGTAAGTACCAAGAGTACTGGATTAATGGAATCCTTCTGGGTTCAAGTTCTTCTGGTCTCCTAAAGTTTTTTTCTATTAATACTGTAAACTGAAAGTATCATAACTATTCTATAGTGAAATCCATTGTAGCCTGAAAAGTTCCATCATCCCCTTGAACCCTAAATTCAACAATGTCTTCTGGCCCTAGCAGAAGTTACACATTCCTCCCAAAAAGGTACTCACTTCTGCATGATGAGTGCTGGGAAAGGTCCTTGCAGAGAGAGCCAGACCCTGACAGATTTGGGGCTTTGTAGGAAATTAATTTGTCAGCTGAAGATACATAACAGCCTTGTAAATCCTGCGAGAAGCCGTGACCTATTTAATGCAAGATCTATTCAAATAATGCTTTAGACATGCATCAAAATTCCACTTGTGGGGCCAGGGTGGAGGCACACTGCAGTTGTGGAGTGGCAGGAACAGACAGATCAGGGAATCTTCTGAAAAATTCATCTTCTGTTACAAAGAGAAATTGGAGGCTGTCATTATTTCTGAAAGGAAATTGTGTCATTATCATCTACGAGTTAGTTTTTTAATGCTTATGCTGCTGCCATCTATAGTAGTTCTGCTGCTTCTATATTTAGTAGATTTTGTAGTCTGAGACAAACAAAATACTTGAGACAACCAAAAATTATGTATGCAGAGGGGAAAAGTAGCTTATGCATTGTTGGTTGACTTGAGGTAATTACAGCTGTTCAGACAAATTTGGTGTCTAGATTCTGTTCTTGTGTGATGATAATGTTTGAGCCTGGAATAGTGACAAAAATACCAACTCCCAGATTTTGTTCTGTTCTTTTTTTTTGTTTTGTTTATGTGTAAAATAATTTGTCCCAGTGCTTTTAAATAGATGGGATTTGATAATACCATCTAGAGGTGAGATATTTAATTCAAAGATCTGGATACAGTAGCTGATTCCTGATGTTTTCTGCTCCTGTCTCCTTAGGCTACCCTTATTCATGAAGATATTGAAAGTGCAATCAGTGACAGTAAAAGTGGGAAACAAAAGAAGAGGCTTGAAACACTGAGGTAAAAATCCAACTTCTTGGCATCAAATAGTGTGACAGCATTCAGAAGCTCTCCAGGTTGGCCTGCTGTCTTTTGGGATTTTCTGGGGGGCTTGAGCTTTTTTCTTCTAGCTACTAATATACTTCCAAAGCCTTATGTATTAAAGCCTTATCTTGCTTTAATCATTTTCTCATGGTCTGTCAATTTATAGTGGCAGTCTTACCTTTCCCAGCTCTGCCTTTGTGATGGGAACAACTGAGATCAGTTCCACTTGCCAGAGAATGGAATTGCATGTCTCAGTTCTGCATATGGATCAGGTAGTTCAGAATTTGAACTAAAAAACTCAAATTCCCCATAACTCCAAGGAAATAAGATTATGTTAAAAGCTTTTGGGATCTGAAGATGTTGAATAAAACAGTGACTGAAGATTTAATAATCTTCTTGCCTGCCTGTTTAATGATGCTGAAGTCTTCTTGTTTCCCTGGTAGCAAAGTCTTCTCTGCCAGTTAAAAAATGTGAGGGAAAGAATCTGTTGGGTTCAGAGAAGATGAATACAGAAATGAGATGTAGCAAAGGGAGGCATAAAAATATTAGATACTGAATGGTGATGGTAGTAGCTTGTGAGAAATTCAGTGTGTAACTATGTGCTGATAGTCTCAATAATAACTGTGCTCAGATAGAGAAGTCTCTGCTGGACAAAAATTAGAATAAATGTATAATAGTTCTGGATACCTCTTAAATTCTGATGTGCAACTTACAAAGACTTCCAAGAGCAAGGGGCACTCCTAGAAAAACAAAAGAGCACCCAAGCTGTGTCTAACTCTATTTGAAGGTTTAAAATTAAACAAATAGACTTTACCATTGTGGGAATGTTACAAACCAGGTGTAAGCACCAAGAGACAATCCAGAGGGACTCAAACACCTTGGATGTGCTGGGACACTAATGAGGTTTAACTGGGAGAAGGATGTAGGTCAGGCCATCTGCTGGGACAAATAATCCGAGATATCAGTCTGCAAGGGCTGAGTTTCTCCCTGCTGCCTCCTGTGCTGTCATTGGGTCCCAGGGAGAGACCCCCCTGCTTTTCTGAGGGTCTGGGGCATTCTTGGGGTGCTGCAAGGCTGCTGAGGAGTGAAAGGGGACTGGAGAAAGGAAAGGCAAAGGAAATTTGTTGTTGTTGTTGTTATAAGCTGTTCAAAGACCAAACAACATTTGATGTTCTGTGGTCCCGTTGTTGAATGCTGGGACTGAAATGGGTTTATAAAAGATGAATTTAAGGTGAAGATCTACTTTTAAATAGAGCTCTGGGGAAGGAATGAGGGATATGAATGACAGGAGCTACTATGTAGGTTTTTTTTTTTTTGTCTGTTGGTATCAAGGTGCAGAATGAATTCAAAGACCTCTTTCCTTACAGAGCTGGAAAATTGCAGGTGGGAACATTGATATGTTTGTATCAAGACAGGATGAAAAGGCCCCTGTTACAAAACAGATCAGCTAGTGAACTTGGTTTTCTTGGTAGGGTTTTAAGCAAAAGCTGGTTGACAACTGGCCTGACTTGAGGGACTAGATACTTGATTTGTGATGGCTGAAAAGTAGGTTCAAATCTTCTCATTTTCTCTCATACAAAAGAAAAGTCCCACCCTTACAACTGCACGTGGTGGTAAAAATGCCCCCTAATTTTAATGCCACCCAGCCACTGAATTTATCTGTGTAACCTGGCAGGTCTGGTCGTGTTCTTGGGCATTTCCCAGGTGACAAAGGTTTGCTCACTCCCACGTGGAGTGGGTTTCCTGCTGTGTTCAGTATTTTTACACACCATGGTCTTGAGTGCATGGTCTGCAGTCGAGGGGGTCCTTGTGAAGCCTCCTGGTTTCCTCTCATCAAGCACTCGAGAACAGAACGTTTTTCCTCCCAGTGTCACTTGTTGCCAGGATTGCTATGGGTTTAGGTCTCCGAAGAGCAGAGCAATTGTTGGTTGCTGTAAAGTTGTTCATTGTAAAAGCAAAAGACAAAGAGTCCCAAGTGTTAAAATCCATGTTAAAGCTTTTGGCATAGTGTCCCAAATAGAAATAAAGTCCTGGGCAGAGGCAGTTTCTGTGGTACAGAATCCTGAGCCTTTCTTCTTCTCTTCTTTTCTTTTTGTTCTTCCTCTTCTTTCATGTGGTGGTAGTGATGATGATGATGATGATGATGGTGATGGTTGAGAGAGTGAGAGAGCTCTCACTCCAATACAGGATTCTTATTTACAAATTACCCAATGAGCTAAAGATGATGATGATGATGATGGTGATGGTTGAGAGAGTGAGAGAGCTCTCACTCCAATACAGGATTCTTATTTACAAATTACCCAATGAGCTAAAACCATGAACCTGCAGCATTTATTTTAAGCTTACTAGAATTCTAGTTATAATACAAAAGTTTACACATGACTTGCTCATACAGCCTGTCTGTTGTATCTGAGGAATGTAAGCAATATTCTTACTGTATTTTTATTATGTCTAGAATTATGGTTTTGAGCTCTCACTGCAGCTTGTTTTTGAAACTCGTTTCCTACACCAGATTCTAAGGCTTTTGCTCTTTAAGGCACTCAAAACATATCCTTACTTTACTTACTTCAAACTAAGATTTATACTTCTGCTTCATATTTATGCGACTTAATAACACTTCTACTTACTGAAAACTAAAGTTTACACCTGTTTCATGTCTGTGTTAACATGTTTTAATACATTGATATAATTAACATGTTTTAATACATTGATATAATTAACATGTTTTAATACATGGATATAATTAATATATTTTAATACATTGATATAATCGATATGTTTTAATACATTGATACAATCAATATATTTTAATACATTGATGTAATTAACATGTTTTAATACATTGATATAATTAACATATTTTAATGCATTGGTATAATTAATATATTTTAATACATTTATATAAATAATATGTTTTAATACATTGCTATAATGAATATGTTTTAACACATTGCTACAATTAACATGTTTTAGTACATTGATATAATGAATATATTTTAATTTCTCCGGATGTTTTTAATTCACACCATTCATTTTGAGGGCTGTGTTGTTTTTTTTTTTTTTTCCACACCCCCAACACGGTGTATGCTCTGTGCTCTTCCTGCAGGATGATTTCCAAAGCTGACAGTGCCATCCCTCCACCCCCCCGGGCTCCTGCCCCGGTGCCCCCCGGGACCATCACTCAGGTGGATGTGCGGAGCCGAGTGGCAGCGTGGTCAGCCTGGGCATCCGAGCAGGGCGACTGTGAGTGCTCCTATTCCTGTTCCTATTCCTGCTCCTATTCCTGTTCCTATTCCTGTTCCTGCCCCTGCCCCTGCCGGGGGCTTTGGGCTGCCTCGGGACAGCAGCACAAGCGATTTTGTTACGGGGAAAATTTGGGGGAGTTTGTTACAAGTTCCGGTTGTTAATTTTCTAAGTTAACTCTTGTCCTGTGGTGATTTGATGAAGAAGTTCGTAGCGTTTCGAGTTAGTTGAAATGTTACAATAAGTTAAATTAATGTCAGTTAAAAGTTTGAAGGGGTCCAGGATGGCGTGGGGGTTGTGGTGACACCTTGGGGGTGAGGCCAGTGCAGTGACATCAGTGCCATAAAATGAGATTGATGGAAGGAGCGGTCCGGTCACTCGATGTCCCGAGAGAATGGTTGGACAGGAATGAACCGTGATAAGGACCAATAAAAGCCCCCAAACCGGACCAGTTATCAGGGGGATCCAAACCCCACCAATCCTGGACCCAAGGGGGGTACAAAAGGGGCTGCCAGACTCCTGCTGGATGCTCTCCTGAGCATTTCATTTCCAAGGGATCTCCCGTTTTGTTGGGGTTCCACACATTTGTCTCATTTTCCAGCTTTAATAAACCAGTGCTTCTTTTACAAGAAAGTTGTTACCATTTTAAAAGACCGGGTGACTTTCAGCTAAGAGCTCTGGCCCCGTTCATTACAATTTGGGGTGACATTTTCTCCCTGGCAGTAGCTGGAGGCAGCACTGGTGGTACAAGGTCAGCCCTGCTGGGAGCTGGCAGCGGAATTTCCCAGCCTGGTTTTTTTTTTGGGATGCCCCAATGCCTGATATGGGGACAAAGATCTGTCATAACCTGATTTGTCATTTAGCCATTCTGTGTTTTCACTCGTGCTTAGCTGGGTGTGGGTTCCAGGTTTTGATCTGGGCTTTTTTGGTATGGGTGGTAACAGCAGCACAATAATCTAATGATGCTCTCCTCAGTATAGGGCCAGATATTTTGGATGACTAAAAAGTAAAATCATAGATTAAAAGGTGACTTGAGATCAGCACTATTTATTTATATTGTGTTTATCTTTATAATGGCTGCTTTGGCTGATTAGTTTCTTAGGGATTTTTTGGTTTTATTTTTTTTGGTTTTTTTTAAAGACTTAACTAGGAAATGCTGTAACTTTAACATTCCTAATGGGTTGGGATTTTTCTGTTTGATGGTTGTTTGTGGGTTTTTTCCATCTAATATTTTGATCAGATTTCTTTAAAAATAAAAGTTCTTTAGAAATAATAAAGTTCCTTCTATAAAACACACAAAAAAGGTTAAGATGAAGCCTCTTTTTTTTTTTTTGTTTAGCTTGGGTTCTTTTAATAATAGATATTAAGACTGAACCATTAAAAACCTTGGATTCCTTATAATTTTTGTTTTATTAAATTATATCTATATCACTCAACTAAGTACATGACTATGTAAAGAAAACAACTACAGATATTCAGGGAAATCTGAAATGTTAAGAATTCTTTAATCTGTGTACTCACAGTATTACATCTGTTTTGAGTAAAGGCTGTCTTGTTCTTCTGCTTGAGTTCTCACATCAGAAAATTTTCATTAGTTTAGAGTCTTGTCAGACCTGTTGTGGATCTGAGTTCCTGCAGTTCCTTTTATTCCATGGATCTTTTCTAAAATGTGTTTACTGAAATCCCACCTGTTCACTAATGCAGTGGAGTACTTAGTGTGGGTTAAAAATGCAAAGCTTAAAACTCCTCAAAAAATTCACCCCTTGTTATTTTCAACAGAGTCACTGATTCTGGGCATTGTTATTTGGAAATATCAATTCTATCACATCATTCTCTCTTCTTTCTGTGTTTCCAGACTTGACATCCCTTTTTGCCAATAACTTTTTTCATAAGAATTGTCTTCAAAGCCACTGCATTCTTTCTTGCTTGATTCTGCTGGAGTAGCTTTCAGCATATTTTGCAAAATGGGATGATTCCTAATTACATTGCATTTATAATCTGCCACTTTGTGTTGCTTTTTTTTTTTTTTTATATATATTTAAAGCCTGGCACCATACTTCTGCAGTTAACTTCATTTATGCAGTTAAGTAAACTGAAAGCAAGTACAGAAGCTTTTTTTGTGAGCCCTGACAGGATCAGGCATTAAGGTGCAAGATTTTCAGTTTGTGTGGAGTCCATGCAAAGGGAATGATAGAATTTTGTCCATCTTTTTCCTACAGTAGTGCACTTTAATGCAGAAACTGTATAGAAATTGTTATATACTAATAAACTAATCTTATTCCCTTCTTCCCTCTTTGCAGATGAAAAGCACAGACAATACCATGAGCAGGAAGAAACAGCAGAGATGATAGCAGCCAGGATTGACAGAGATGTTGTAAGTGAGGAGCTACAAATAATACTGCCTCATAGCTGTGAAATTTTGCTACTCTACTTTGTGGGAAGATTTTTCTCCACATGAGAAATTCAGTTCTGGAGAAAATCTTTCCGAGCAGTCTCTGCTGGTTGTGGTAAATCTAAAATGAACAGGTGGCAGTTTCTTTTCTTAATTTTCTTTTTTAAAAAGAAAGAAAATCACACTGAATGTTGATGACAAGTTTTCTGCTGTGAAGAGCTGGAAATATAAATTGTAATTTTTTTAAGTAGACTGATTTCAGCAAAATATGTAAAAGGCTAAAAAATTTCCATCAGTTTAGCAGGACCTGGATATGTGTAATACCTAGAAAATAAACATGATCATTTCTGAAGGCAGGTGGACCATATTTATTTATGACTTAAAACATTCCTGCATATAAGCAACAATATGGGGCATGCTCCATGGAATATTCAAGAGAAAAGCATATTGGGACTGCAGGATTGGTGTCTTTGTGTTTTCCCTCGGGGTTCACTCATTCTTCTCCAGTTACTCTTTGAAATCAATTCTTCAAAGAGCTCTTCTCCACAAACAGCTTAATTTTTAGAGAGCTTCACCAAATAGCTCAATACTTAGTACTAAAGGAGATTATGAAGTTTATACTCTTTATGAAAATGCTCTCCATTCAAATAATTGCAATTTTTTTTCGTGTGCTCTCAGCAAAAATGTAATGTGGAAGTAAATTGGGTAATTGCAATCTAAGCTTGGCTACCTTGTTGCACATATTTTGAAAAGTTCCAGCGGGCCTACGTTTTTAATAGAATTAAAATTTAACGTAATTTACGGGTATATAAATTTAAAACCACAAGGAATCTAAATATGAAATGTTTAATTCCCGCATGGAATTTATTCCAGGGAAGCTATTGGTGTCTGGGGGTGTGGACATTTCAATTTCTGGAGTGTTTCTGCTATAGATTCTGTAGAGAAAAGTTTACTTTTCTTTTCTCCCACAGCAAATTCTGAACCATATTTTGGATGACATCGAGTATTTTGTCACCAAACTGCAAAAAGCTGCTGAAGCATTTGCTGAACTTTCAAAGAGGAAGAAAACTAAAAAAAGTAAAAAGAAAGGACCTGGAGGTAAGAGCTTGTACTGCACACAATTCTCAGGATCATTGAAGGAGCTAGGAAATGTCTTTTTGTGTGTTTTTTTTTAATCAGTGTAGCGATTTTCTCTCAATTTGAGCACAAAGGTTCCTAAGCAAAATATTTTTAGAGGGAAAACTATGAAAATCTTGAAGTCAGTGGGAAATGACAGATTAGAGATGTGACCACAAAATATGCTCCTGCTTTGGTTGTATATTTACAAAATTCTGTAAGATGGTAAATTTATTATGTATGTTGTTATTTACTATATCTAGAATATTTCTGGGGCCTATACAGATATAAACAGGTGTATAAAAATCTCATTTTGCTCACCAGAGGGTGTCCTCACTCTCCGTGCAAAGCCACCACCCCCAGATGAATTTGTTGACTGCTTCCAAAAATTCAAGCACGGCTTCAACCTTCTGGTAAGTGATGGCAATTCGTGGGTCTGAGATGTGAGGCCAGGCCAGGGCTGGCCACCTCTGGGCTACCTTGGCCTCTGAGCTTTGGGATGCTGCTACCCAGGTTCTCTGCACAGGGACCAGATGAGCATGTTTGGTGTTCAGCTCCATTGTGTTTCTTCCTTTCCTGGTTCTTTAAAGCCTTTTACTTGGGAAATTTGTGTTTTGAATCATCAAAGAATTCCTAGGAATGTCTGTGGGGCTCACAGCTCTGCTGTGTGTTTGCCAAGCATCACCAGCTGTGCCTTTAATTTGATTTTATTCAGCCATGCCCATCAGACTCCCTGTGCTTGTTGCCATCATTACCCAGGACCTTCTGGCCTCACAATGTTCCATCCAACAAATTGCTGTCTCTTTGTGGGTTCTCAATAAGCAGAGATGATAATTTAAGAGCTTTCTGCTGGCATCTCCTCTTCTGCAAGGGGCAGTGTCCTATTCAAGGGAGGCAGCACGTGGGACACCTCCAAAGCATTTTCTGTCTGTCTGACTGTCCCTTCCAGCTGCTGGAGAGGCTGTGCCAGTGGGGAAAACTGCTCCTGAATTCACTGAGTCAAATCAGCTTCTTTCTGCCTCCTGGGAAATGAATTCTGATTGCAGGAAATATTTAGACATGTTAAAAATATCTTAAAAAAAAAAAGAAATAAAAACCCGAAGCTGCATCAAGTGTTGTGGTTCTGACCTTAAGGGGTTGCTGTTTTGAGGGAGGATGAATATCTTGGAATGTGTTTATCCTTCTCAGTTAAAGATGGAATGTTCAGGGGTTTTTTTTCCATTCTTTCTACTACATTCTGCATTTAAATTAGTTTTTCACCCAAGAACAATCTGTGCATCTTTGAGTCTTTCTCTTTTGTGCAGAGGTCACAGCTCTTGTTTTGATGCTCAGCAGCATCTGGGACCTGGTTCCAGTGTTGCTTTTGAAGCGTTGTGCTGTGGCATTGCTTTAACAATGCTTTGCTTCAGCATCTTTGCAGGAGCAACAAAAGCCTGAAATTTGTGCTTTGTGTCGGGCAAGAACTGTATAAAATGAAGAATCTGGTTTAAAAAGAAAAGGAGTGGCTAGAGGAATAAAATCTTGAAGTAGAATGGAAATTGCTTTAAAACCTCACGCTGGAAGCTTCTAGAAATGCCTGCCATCTGTCAAAAAGCTCTAGATAGGCTGGGACTGGGTTGTTATGACTGAGGAACAATGTAGAGGAAGTTATTAGAAGCAAAAACACATCCTCCTCCTCCTTTCTTCATTTAGAGGGACAGTTGGATGCAAAAGCAGAGCAAGGGTAGCCAAAAGCAGTTTGGGGAACAGATGGCAAGTGCAATAGAAATTACTATCACTCTTCAAAACACATTTGGGCTCCTTATTTCTGGAGCCTGCAAAGCCAATGGGTGATCAGTAGATAAAAAGAAATTCTTCAAAGAGCTCTGTCAGTGAATTTTAATGGTTTGGGGTTTTTAGAGTATTATTTTTATGGTGGTGTTTGGTCATAGGTTGGACTTGATGATTTCAGAGGTTTTTCATAGAAATATCTTATTATAACAGGTAAAGTAATAGATGAAATTCACTATTGATAGATGGGATAGTCATGGACTGGTGGGGAAAAATCACATATATAGAACAAAATGTTGATGCAATAGAGATTCCTGGGAGAAAGACATCTGTGTTCAGTGTGATCAACCAAGCAAATGGTAAAAACCATCAGGGAAAAAAAAAAAAAATACAACAGAACGTTTACAAAGAGCATCAATTTACCACCATGTTACCTGGCCTGATTTTTTTTTTTGCCAGTGTAGCCAAATTGAAGAAGGTCCAGGGTGGACAGGAATGCTTGAAGGAATTACTTCAGCTTGGAAAAGACCAGATTCAGGAATAATATAATAAGTCTGGAAATGGTTATGAGCATTGCTAGAAAAAGTGAGTTGAGAAGGACAATTTAGTTTTATTTGGAGAGTTTGCAGAATACTTATGAAAGTAAGAGGTGTCAAATTTCCAAAGGAGATGCTTCTTCACAAAACATGTAATTTGGTTGTGGAAATTCTTGTTTTGCACAAGAGGTGCTAAAATATGCATGGAGTCCAGAGCCATGGGATGGCTGAGCACTTAGTGGGTGTTGCAGGCCAAGTAGGTGGACCTGAGCAGGGATGGTCATTCTTATGTAAAGTGTTTATTGTCTCAATAGTTAAATGTTCCTTAAAATTTGTTTTTTTTTGCCTTTAGGCCAAGTTGAAGTTCCATATCCAAAATCCTAGTGCAGCTGATCTGGTTCATTTTCTCTTTACCCCACTACACATGGTAAGCTTTTACAATTTTCTAAGTGTTTACCTTCAGAACTCTTGTATTTATATGCTCTGTAATCTCTTCAATTATTACAAGATTGAAATGTTGTGTCCCTGGACAATAAGTAAGGAGAAATGTTTGTATCTCAGGATGAGGTTTTCTTTGGAAAATAATTTACATCCTTTTCTGCATATTTTCCCTTCTATTAAATGTATTCATTTAAATAATCTTCAGCCTTGTGTTACACTTTGCCATTATAATTTTTAACTAGCAATAAAAAAATTGAGGTTCTCTACATAATGCAGGAGGAGAGCTGAAAGAAAAATTTAATGGAATTATGTGTGGCTTTCATCAGTAAAACATAAACTACACTGCCCAGAGTGGGTCTAAATAAAAAATAGTTGAGAGTTCTCCAGCAATAAATAGTTTGGTTAATTTGTAGGACATCAAGACACACTGTTAAATTAAGGGTTTTTCCTTCTGGGGGGTGTTTTTATGAGTAGTGACTGTTTCCTAGCAGCACTGTAGATGACATAAATTCACAGCCACTTCCTTACTGACAACCTGCACGTTCTTGGCATTGTTTTAATCCATGGATTCAGGTGGTACAGACAACAGGAGGCCCAGAGCTTGCTAGCACAGTGCTCAGCCCCCTGCTGACAAAGGACACCATAGACTTCCTGAGGTACACTGTCACCAGCGAGGAGGGACAGCTCTGGATGTCCCTGGGTGATTCATGGACCAAAGCCAGGTGAGAAAAATCCTCAGCTTTTAGAGAACCTCCTCCAAAATCAAGTTTTTTTGACATGGTTATCCAGCCCCCGAAAAATTCAATATTATTTTGTTAGGATTTGGACTCTTGAGGACTGTTCTTTGAAGGTTTGGGAAGGAAATCTTTGGGATTTGAGATCTCAAGGAGAGACAAAATGCAGAGATTTTTTTTTTTTTTTTGTCAGTGATATCCAGAACTCTTGACATAATCTTCTGCAATATCTTTTTCTGAACTATCCCTTGCATGTTTCCAGTTGTTTTTCACCATTATTTTTTTCAGCCCATCTATCTGGACTTCATTAAACAATTTGAAGATGCAATAAAGACTGACGACACGTTAAATAATAGCATCAAATGTCTGTTTTCAATTTCTAATAATTATTAGAAGTTAAAAATTTGGGTTAGTTTGAAATTAAGTGAAAAGAAAAATCTTAAATTAGCAAAGTGCATTTTGACTCTATAATCTGAGGTAGATAAGTACATTTGATGATGATGAAGTATGCAGGACGTTTTTTGTGTTTATTCATCCTTGCTCTTAACTTTCAGATTGGAACACAAATGTCTACCAGATGGATTTTGTTTTTATTGATGATTTTTATTATTTATTTGGTTGATTGAGAGCTGTAGAGTGTAAGGAAGGCTGCATGGAAGGAGTGGAAATGGCCTCATAAATTTGGAGCCCCGTGCAGGGAATATTTATACTGGGGGACAGAGTGTTATGTGTAGTGCAAAGCCAGAGCAGGAAAGCATTAATTTATTATTAATTAATTTATTATTAATTATTACTACAGAGAATGCTAATGGAACTCTGAAAAGCAGAACAGTATTTTATAAAGGTCTATATACTATAGAACAGCAAATGTGATGATAATTTTTGTGTCCTGGAGCATGTAGAGTTGGGTGGGGTTTATGTCTGTAGAAGATATTGTTTGTTTTTTTTGGTTTTGGTGTAGCTGGGCCCCCTAAGCTTCCATGCTTCACACCTGCTTTCAGGTGTTCTTACAAAGCTGGCTGTTTCTCTGAAATCTTTTCTTGGTGCTTTCACACAAGTATTTTGCAATATTTTGCAATATTTTTCCCCACATTCCACCATTAAAACAAATCCTAGATTTGTTCTGACTGATTCTCCTATTACCCATCCTTTGCTAAAAAGCAGAAGTTTGTTATCTTTTATCACTTTAGCAGCAAACTCCTTCTGCAGGGCACTGCAGGGAGGATAGTTGAGGTAAATAAATGTGTTCTGCTGATTCTCTCTGTTCTAGCATGTTTCTGCCTGTATAATAATAAAACTACTAAATAAATAAATAATTTCTGCCTGTATACTAATAAAACTACTCTACTCTCCTCTATACTAATAGAAATCCTAAAGCATTTCAGTTTATGGGAAGCCTATTGAACCAGCATTCCTGTAGCCTTGACACAGATTTCTAATTTGCTTTTCCCCACAGAGCTGAATGGCCAAAAGACCATTTCATCCCCCCCTATGTCCCCCGTTTCCGAAATGGTTGGGAGCCCCCTCTGCTGAATTTCATGGGAGCTCCAAAGGAGCAGGAGCTCAACCATTTGGCTGAGTCTGTGGCCAACGTGGCAGAGCAGCAGAGGAAGCAGGAGATGAAGAGACTGTCCAGTGAGGTAAGCTCCTGCAAAAAGTGTTAATTAGTTAATTAACACCAACCAAACCCTGCCTTCCCGAGGACAAGATTCTGGGGCATTGCTGGAGTAACCCTGGCACCTGTTTGAAAAAGCTTCCAGTGACAGAATTTCATGTTATAGGAAACCAAACACCTGCCCAGCCACCAAAAATGCAAATATAAGGGTTTTTTTTATTTTTTTATTTTTTTTTTGCTGACCTTGAACTTGTGCACTTCCCTGCCTCAGCTGGGAGGGCAGCCCAAGCCCCACAGGGTCAGTTTGATTTGAGCTCTGCTATCAGATCCCATCGATTTTGGGCCATAAATACTTTGGGCAATGTTCGAACCAAAGTGCTGCCAATCACAGGCACAATCTAAAAGAAAGTATCCACCCTTTTTTTGGTGGAATTTTGGACTTCAACTGCTTCTTCATAAATGTGGATTTTATTATTCTTTTCATTAATCTGTTGATACTTTCACTGTATTGCTTATAAATATTCAGAGGTGCTCTCAGGGCAATGTCATGTCAGGTAGATTAGACCTACTTTGAAAAAAAAAAAAAACAAACTCCTGATTAGGAAAATGATTGTATAAAACATTTTCCCAAAATTTTCTTCCAAGGAATGTCACAAATTTAGCAAAAGTTAGGTTATTCTCTTTAAAGAATGGAAATATGCATCACCATAAAAAGCCTTTAGAGAAAGCAGGGTGCATTTCCTGCTTTATAGCCTGTCCTTTGTTTCTCAGCCAAGATTCTATCCCTTCATTTTCAATAGAATTCATCAGAAAATGAACTTTGATTTTTGTGAAAAATTTAAGAATATATGCGGATTTTTTTGCTTTTATATGAACAATAAAAGGGTATTGCCTTCTTAAACATACAAAAATTTTCCTTTTGGAAGATACTGTCTTTTGTTGGGAGGACACAAGAGTTAATTTAAATTTTGTTTTAATTTTCTACACTGGTTTTAGTTTAAATCTAGTGTTAGCTAATCCAATGTACCCTTTTAGCAGCAGTGAGATGGAGGAACACCTAAGAATTTCCTAGGTTCACTTAAGACTCTTTTCTGTCTTGGGGAATTATAATTGGCTGTTATGGGATGTTGTTTTCTTACAGATCAATTCTCTAATTTGAGATAGCAAATCCTCCCCAGCAAAAACTTCCCAGTCAAAAAAAAAGGTCTACTCAGCTATAGAGACAAAATTTAAAAAAAAAGTAAAACCTCTGCCAAGCAAAGGAGGAATAATATGAAATATATTTGATTACTTAAAGCTCTGTTTGGCTTTTTGCCTAACAAGATACACAAGAATAAATGAGACAAAAATTCAGTTATTGCCAGTGATTCATTTTGAGAATAAAAGCATTTAGTACAATTAATAGGCACAGTAATGTGAAATATAGCTTTTGCCATTGCTGTGACCTCCCAAAAAATATCAAACATTGTCTCACTTTTCACTACTGATCTACATTTCCATGTGGTTTTTTTTGTTTATATTGTGCTCCTTCTAAATAATAATAATTATAATTATAATGATAATAATAATGATAATAATATTAAGAACAACAGCAGACAAGAGTATTGAAACTTTCCCCATAGCATTAAAAAAAGATCATTAATTTTTCTCTTCTGAAGACTCTAAGAAGTTCATGTTATTTATTTATATAACAACCTAAAACAAATGTGAAGGGGGAGAATATATTGAGGTGTTTTCAGTTGCCTGTGTTTCAGGGAGTTGATTTCACCTCAGTCTTTTTCATGCACTGGTAGTTGTTTATGGCAACTTAATCTGTTTGTCTTAACCATCAAAAGACACATGCACAATTATTTTTTAAATTTCATATATATATACACATATATACATATTTAATACACATATGCAAATACACATTTATATACATATATATACATATATATACACATACATATGCACATATAGACACATTTATATACATATTTATATATACATATACAAATACACATATATATACATATACACATATATACATACATATATTTACATATATATATATATTTATATATGCCTGGTTCCTGGGATGTCAGGCATTGGTTTCATGACTCTCACTGATTCCAACAAGGATCTGGGCAGGTGATTTAACCTTGGTGCCTTGGCTCCCTGTGCCCATGCCTCCCTAGCAATCCCTGGGGGAAAAGGCTCTGAGCTGTGAAATTCTGCAGGTGCTCAGCTGGGAAAAGCTGCTGTGCAAAAAACCTGTTCAGTGTGCAGCAAAAAGCACCACCCTGAAATGGGTGATAGCAGGGTAATTATTCTTTCTTAAGCCGGCTGTAATGGTTTGTTCAGTGAGGAGCAGTGGAAAATTGAGAGATGAGGATGGAAGTGTTCCTGTCTTGCCTCTGGTGCTGGTGTGGAATTCACCTCCCCAGAGCCAAGGCTGCCTGTGCATGGCTGTGCTGGCAGAGCTGAGAGGCTGCCTGGCTGTGCTGGCATCAGGAAAAGGGGTTTTTTAGCAGATTCCCACCCCTAGAAAACTCGTTTTTTCTTTCCATTCTTGAATTCCTGAATCTTAAGATTCAGCCACACATGCAGCTCCCAGCAGAGGGGTTTCAAGGTGGAGGCAGTTAAAAAATGAGGATTTCAAATGGTGGTGGAACAACCAGTGAGGCTAAAGGGATGCAAATAATTTGTGTGAGGTAGAACAAATTCCTGCTTCCTGGGTGTCTTTCACCTTGGCCTAAGGCAGGTGACACTGGAGATTTTTTTTCCAAAGACATCTTTCCGAAGTGTTTTAAAGAATATTCTGTTTTTATGGGGAGCTCTGTGGGGTTTAATTGCTTTTCATAAACCCTCAGCCCCCTAAGTGAGTACCTCTGCCAGAGACAGAGATTAGGTGAGAAACTCTCCTGTGGCCACATCAACAGAGATAACAAAAAAAAGCCAAAAGCGAAAACAAAGCAGAAGAAAACTAAAAAAAACACAACAGCCAGGCTTAAACATTTGGCAAATTCTGGTGAATCTCAGGCAGTCCCATTTGTGCAGCTGGATGGTATAAGGAAAGGATATAAAATTAGCTATTTCAATATCATAACACCCACACATGAACTGTTAAGCTTGGTTTTGGTTTTGGAGATGGTGATTAATATGATTCTTGCCTTGGAAGGAGAGTGTTGATGCTGAATTTAAGATGGGTTTTTTTGGTTAAAAAAAAAAAAATTTCCTAAAGCCTTGAATGTTCTTACATATATGCTTGTGATAAAGTAGAATTATTTTCCCTGATTAAAATCCATAATTATACCTACTATACACTCCTTTTTGCATTTCTTTGTGAACTGTAGCCATATTCAGTGAGGGTGTGACATGAATGAGCTTTTTCATATTATGATCTTGCAATAGAGTGATCATTTTATTCTTACAGAGACTTACTGTTGGCTGGGCTAGAGGTTTGTGGCTTGAAATGTG